GATTTCTCTTTAAAAAGTGTGGATTTTTCCCTCTTCCTCCTCTCCCTCAAGTATCATCATTAGCATCACTTCATGAGAAAAACTCGGCAGAAAAGAACTGCATCATGTGTCACGTCTCACATTCATGTTGACTCTACATTCTGCCAAAGTGATATGTCCAAATTAACTCAGTACATAAACTGCACCTTTTAAAATCTGATTCTTAGAAACTTCGAGACCACTTATCTTAATCACCTTTGAAGAATCAGTATGTACTTTTCCAGAGCATGACAGAGTTAGTTGCTTTAAATAAAAAGAGGTGATTTGACTAAGTGGTATTATCTGAGACCCTTGGTTTCTGTTTCTTACTCAAAAAGCAGATCTAGCCTGTGGCCATCAGTATGTATTGAGTCATAAAGCTTCTGGAAGAAAGGCTTGATTTCATCAAGGAAACCGAGGACTCCTGAGTACCTCCAAGAATGATAGCTGTTACTACAATAACGTAGTTATTACTTTAAAGAAGCCCAGTAAAATGTGTCCCTCTGGGAAAAAAACGACTTAGCCTAGAAATAGAAGTAGCCTGAATTGGTCATTTACTCAAGCCACCTGCCTTTAAACAGAATTTTTAAAAAATCACCTCACAGCAGTTGTACTATTTAAAGATCTCTGGGTAGAGGAATACATCACAGTAGTAAGATAGTGGTTAACACTTGGGTGCTGCTATTACATACTAGGCAGAGGTCTTAAAGATTTTTATATGTGTCAATGTATTTAATCCTCAGAGCAAACCTATGAGGTCCAGTTATTATCCTCATTTTACAGATGAGGAGCTGGATGCTGCCCAAAGTCACAGGGCTTGCAGATAGTGGTGCTGTCTTCAAACCTAGCTAGTCTGTTCATCAAGTACGTGCTCTTACACTGTCCCTGGAAGCTGAATGTCACCTTCATCTCCTTTTCTCTAATCGAACGCTGAACTTGTATTTAAGCCATTAGTGTTTATTATAAGCCTGCTATACTCAGACTCTTTCAAAAATAATCCACTGTTTCTGGCAGATACAGGTGCTTTCTATAAACTTAATTTTCAAGGGAACGACCATGTAAAGAAGTAACAGACTGAATAAAAATAATCAGATTCTCCATAGAACAAATGAATTTCTGAGTCAGTTGCAAATAGCACTCAGTCATTGTGGCATTTTATGAAGTATTCCCTCCCCTAAGATAGAATTCCATTGTCTTCATGTGCCCTAGCGTCTGATAATAGTATTTTTCGTGTGTCCCCACACTTCAGCTTTCTTCTTTCAGTCCATGTTTTGGAAAGTCCACAAAACCCGGGGCCCTTGCTGCCGTTGCCTTGTGGTCTGTGTAAAAAACCAGATGATGCCATGCTGGCTTGAACTCTTTCAAATGGATCAAACAGCGCATTAGTCATTGGCAAATTTTTCAGGCCCTTTACCTCAGAGACTACCCAGTTCCTCATTCTTGCCACCCTTCAATCATGAAGTAATAGCAAGAAAAAGATGTGAGTACTTTTTGAGGACACCTCCCACCGCTTTCCTTCAGTGCCCGTGACTGATTCCTTCATTGTGGTAATGTTGAAGGGTCCAGACATCCAAAGTGATTGGGCTTTTTAAAAAAATTTTTAAATTATGAGAGTATGATAACACATTTACAGGAGACTTGGAAAATACACAGCAAAGTTACATGTAGTTCCACTATATACTACAATTCTTTTTTAAGTAGATAAATTAAGATTTTTAGTTGGAGTTTTAATAGCAAAACTCTAAAAAATTAATAGAATGAATATACAGAGAAGTAGAAGGTTATAGTAGGCCTGAAAAGCACTATGAATTCAAGATAATTAAGATTTTTTTATACAACTTTTACACAACAGTAGGATACAAATTCTATTCAAGTTCCCATAGACTATAAACTAGGAGACCTGGGAACACATCCAGAGACATAAGACCAAGTGCAAACAGTTGATGGCCTAATGTATTGAAATCATACAGAGTCTGTTCTTTTATTACCATGGGATTATATTAGAAGTAACTATCAAAAGATATTTGAAAATAACCCACATATTTTCTAGTGCAATTTGACTTTTACCAAGAAAGATCTTTGACTTAGCTATTGAAAGCCTCAATAAAGTTAAAAGATGGAAAAAACACAGTGGGTGATTGCAGAGATGAAAGCATTTAAATGAGAAATTAATATCAGAATGAGAAATTTATGTCAAAGATATGTTTAAAATCCTATGTATTTGGAAATGAAATGTCCACTTTTAAATGATGGATATATCTAAGAAGCTAAAATAAGGAAATAGAAAGTATTTGTAATAGAATAAAAATGAAAAGAGAATTCAGCAGGATTTGTTGCATGCAGCTGAAGCTGCTCAGTGCAGTTAAATACAATGTGGAGTCTTGAATAAGGTATGAAAACAAATAATGGACACTAGCATAAAATTTTGCGAAATTTGAACAAAATCTGTACTTTAGATTGAGGGCAGGAGGAGAAAGGGCAATAGAGGTTGAGATGATTGGATGATATCACTGACTCAATGGACATGGGGTTGAGCAAACTCCAGAAGATAGTGAAGGACAGCAAAGCCCGGCATGCTGCAGTCCGTGGGGTTACAAAGAGTTGTGGACATGACTTAGAGACCAAACAACAACAAAAGTTAATAATACTGTGTCACATGTAAATTTCATTTTTTTAACAACATAGTATTTCTTTATATTCTCAGAATTGGATTAGAAATTTTAAGCCACATTCAAATTTTTTTAAGATCTGTAAGATAATAAACTTTCCAGACTTTTAGCAGTAATACTAGATGCTAACATACATGGAAGTTTATTGAAGTTTTGAGTGAGTATAAATTAGAATGTGTCGTTCTATTTGAAATAAGTTGTGATTGGGCTTTAATTGCTAGATTCCTTCTGTGTCCTTCTTAAGTGGCAAGCCTACCCAAGTGATTTCACCCAAGTGAAGCGTTTCGTCATGCCTTACACTGTTGCATTCCTGTGCTCAGTGCACTTAAAAGTGAAATTACATAGTCTATTTAATGCTTTCACTGTTCATTTACTGTTGAAGAGGTCCCTGTGGAATATGTCATCATAACAAAGGTTGATTTCAGATGTCGATACCAAGACACAGAACTGGCATCAGCAACCCAGGGAGTATGTAGGGACAGCAGCCAACTTTGGAGCAAACCCAGAACTCTTCATTCCCTGTACTGCCCCCAGGGCAAAGGCTATCTACCTGTTATAAAAGGGAAAGCACCGAGTTCATAATTGGTTTTATGCCCAGGGGGCTTATTTAAGTGCTTACCTGTTTAAGAAATTATTTATTTGTGCTTCAAGGGGGTCAAAACCTAATTAATCCTAAACATGCTTTGTGATTAGCTTGCTCTGCAAGGACTGGAGGCCATTCTCACAGATCGCCTTGCTCCTTGGAAAGGGTTGGAAAGCAAGATTTGCAACACTTCTGAGCCAGGGTTCAAGCAGAGAGGCCCTGTATTTCCAGTGGAGCTACACTACAGACACACAGGGAGTCTGTCCTTTGCTTAGAAAGGGAACTTCTATCTCCCAGAAGCATCTGGGGCATAACCCCAGCTCTAATCAACTTTTACTCAACCCTGCAATGGAAGATTGGATTGGGGAAAAAATCCATACTGAAAAAATCCTAACAAAATCATGCCTCGGTGGAATGTAAATCTATGAGATGGTATTTATAGTAGAAATAGATGAGTTGAAGGGGATTCGATCCTTTTCCAAGAAATTGTACTGGCAAGTATAGGTTCTTCCTCAAGTTTGTATCAGAAAGACATCCATCAAGGATCCATGGCCACATGAGATTTGTGTCTACTTAGTTTTTCTTCTGAGCTAAGGGCTGCTTGTACAGATTAAAATACTTCTAATGATTGCATAGTTGGGAAATCCTCAATTTCAGTCATATGCTTCCTCAAAAGGAATAATACGAGTTAGATAGAGTGACCAACTCTTCTCAATGTTAGACTGAAAGTCTCGCACCCCAGGAAACTTCCTTAGTCCCAGGCAAACCAGGATGGTTGCTCACCCTTTGAGGAGACAGAGTGCATTTCCAACAGTTTAGGTGAATTTATCCCAGGATTCTGACTTATAATATTCAAGAAGGTAAAAATAAGGTCGTTGATGTTTTCTGTTAGTATGATTTTAGTGTTGGGGTTTTCTTAAGGAAAGAATCTGTGTTCTACTGTAGGAGGCTGGAGGACCAGCTAGAGGAGAGATAGTGTCCAAGCTCTTGTTACTTAAAATGTCATTATCTCCATGGGATTTCCTTTCTATTACTGTTGTCATCATTTTAAAGGTATAACAATTAAAATATAAATTACTTTAAATGGAGAAATCTGATTTTATAAAACAAGAGCTTAAACAGGTATTGGATCTAAGGATTTGTACTTAGGGAGTACACTTTTTAAAATTAAACAGATCACTGCAGGCTGTGGGCTTGGGTGTCCATGGCCAACCCTTGTGGCCAGGTCCCTGGGCAAGACTCTCTCTCCTGCCTAATCTCATGGCAGATTAGAAAGGACTCTTTCCACTCACCTCTTACCGTCTCTTGATTTCCATCAGTCAGTCAATCCCAGTACCCTTTTCACTAATCTTGTACTCAGCATTTATGACCTAAAATGCAGTGTGGTTGCAGATGAAAATATGTTCTTGGTTAATAGGAAGAGGGTGCTTAGTGGCTCCACAGCATCCTCCGCTATGTGCTCTTCCTTCCAACTTTAACAAGATGTATGTATTTTAAATGGTCTGCTTCTTGAAGAGTATCTTTTACACCCGAAACAAATACCACTAGTGTTTTATTCCCATCCCATCATTTGTTCATCACATATTTTTTCACAACCAAGCTGTGGCTGTATACGTACAGATAGGCCTAATTTGATATCATACTTTTTCTACTTACTAGCTTGTCTTAAGCGTTTTCCCATGTTGTGATATAGTCAGATATGCTAACTTTGAAATGTGCTTCTTATATAGATCTGCAACTATGTGGGACCTGCAAAGGTTATTGTTCAGTTGGTCACAAATGGAAAAAACATCCACCTGCATGCACACAGCCTGGTGGGAAAACATTGTGAGGACGGCATCTGCACTGTGACAGCTGGACCCAAGGACATGGTGGTCGGGTAAGTGAGGGTGTATGTTGTTTCAGAAGGGAGCAGCAGATTGAACATGGCACCTGGGGACTTTGACTGGACAGGGCCTTTTCGTTAGGGGTCTTTCCAAGAACCTCAGAGAGTCTTAGCATATGAAAATTTGAGCTGTCACTTGCACTCAAGGAGTAAGCTGCCTACTTGTCTGAGACTCCCCTGAGACAATCCACTTTATACCTGTTGTCCTGGCCTAATTATTTATAGCACCCTTTTTCATTCTCAAAAGTAGCCCAGATTGGATGATAAATTATACAGTCAGTTGACCTATGAGGCATTTGTGCCACTTTTAGCAGTATTTTCCTTCTAGAAATAAAGATATGAACAAATTAGAAGAAAACTAGCTATAGCAGAAATCATACCCTTGATGATTCATTTAATAAACTATTGACTATAGATTTGCACTGTGAACATTTTGTTCATACAGTGGGTTTTATTTCAGTTCTGTGCTGCTTAGAAAGTATGCACAGAAATGATATGACACAAAAGAACTTAATTTCCAAAATATACAAACAACTTATTTAACTCAACATCAAAAGAAGCAAACAACCTGATTGAAAAGATGGGCAGAAGACCTGATAGTTCTCCAAAGAAGACATGCAAATGGCCAACAAGTGTGTGAAAAGATGCTTGATCTGGCTAATTATCAGGGAAATGCAAATCAGAACCATAATGAAGTACTACTTATACCTATCAGAATGGCTATCATCAAAAAGAATACAAAAACAAATGCTGGTGAGGATGTGGACAAAAGGGAACTCTCAAACACTCCTGGTGAGAATGTAAGTTGGTACAGTCACTGTGAAAAACAGTATGGGAGTTTATCAAAAAACTAAAACTAGAACTGCCATATGACCCAGCAATTCCACTCCTGGGTTATATAAAAACAAAAACACTAATTCAAAAAGAAACATGTATCCCAGGGTTCATGGCAGCATTATTTATAATTACCAAGATGTGGAAACAATCTAGCTGTCCATCAACAGATGACTGGATTAAGAAGATGTGCTGTGTACACACACATGCACACGCAATGGAATGCTACCCAACCATAAAAAAGGATGAACTTTTACCATTTGCAGCAACATGGATAGACCTGGAAGGTATTACGCTAAGTGAAATAAGTCAGACAATGAAAGACAAATACTGTATGATATCACTCATATGTGGAATCTAAAAAATAAACTAGTAAGTATGACAAAAATAAACAGACTCACAGTTATAGAGAACAAACTAGTGGTTATCAGTGGGGAGAGAGAAGATGAGAGGGAGGGACAAGATAGGGGTAGGGTACAAACTACTAGGTATAAAATAAGCTAGAAGGATATATTGTAAAACATGGGGAACATAGCCAATATTTTATAATAACTATAAGTAAGGTCTTCCCTTAAGGCTCAGATGGTAAAAAGTCCACCTGCAATGTGGGAGACCTGGGTTCAGTCCCTGGGTTGGGAAGATCCCTTGGAGGAGGGCATGGCAATCCACTCCAATATTCTTGCCTGCAGAATCCCACAGACAGAGGAGCCTGGTGGGCTACAGTCCATGGGGTCACATAGAGTCGGACATGACTGAGCAACTAACATACCACACACACACAACCTTAAAAAAATTTTAATCACTATATTGTAGATCTGTAACATATAATATTGCAACCATACTTCAATTTTTTGGAAAAGTGTGCACAACCAAGGATTACAAATTTGTTTTGACTTTCAGTAGACTTGAAATGTAAACACAAAGTGACATATTCACTTAAGGTTGGTCAGACAGATAAAACAAGCCATTTTTTTTCTTTTTTAAAAAAATCTTCTGGTGGGATCTTTCCAGACCATATATTCAAACTATGTCTCCTGCATTGGCAGGCAGATTATTTACCACTGAGCCACTTAGGGAAGCCCCCAAACCAGCCATTTTTAATGAATGAAGTATTACAGAAATAAATTCATTTCAAAAGAAATTTTCAATTAAATTTGTCTAATTTTCAGGAATATCTTTCAGGGCTTCCTAATACTGGTTTAAATAGTTTATGATAAAATCCCATTTAATCTCAACTATTCACTCAAAAGAAAAGAATTGTTTAAATGAACTGTAATTAAGCTGATGGTAACATTTCAGGCTTTGAATTCCGATCAGGTTTCAAGTTGGTGGTTATTGGGGAGGTTGAGTTTTCATGTTCCTGGGTATTTCTTTGTTTGACTGTTAAAATTTTCAAGTGTGAAAAACCTAGAGAGAGAGCTTTCTTTTAAGTCACTAAAATCTGAATCTTTTGATGTCCGGGAAAAAAAAAGACTCTAGATTGGAGGAAGAAGCCTAAATTGATTTGAAAAATTCAACTGTGCTTTAAATGAACTTGTTTCAACATCCTCTTAAAAGACTGGTCTGTTTCCTGTCGTGTGTCACAGTTGGTTCATGGTCTGTTTTGGAATACCCTTACAGTTCCTGACTGCCCTCTGGAGAGCTTTGAAACGCAGGGTAAATGTCAGAGTTTCAGACAAATCGGTCACTTAGTATCTCTACAAATTTACTCCAATAGGCTACTGTCAGTCTGAAGTATTTATTTTCTTTGGTCCTGTTTAATCTGTGTGATAATCATATGCTTCAGAGGAAATTATAGATGAAGTTCCCTACTAATAATGTTTGTTATTATAAATATTCCAGTATGTTGTCTGTAATTTGGTGTTTCTGTGATTTGCCTTAGTAGTCTTTGAGGCTTTTAGAAGGAACTAATACTTATTTAATTTGGGGCCTACAGCAAGAGTCAAAGTCAATTCCCTGTCTCCGAGGAAAGTGAGGAAATGCATTACTTACTCTTTTAGTGCTGACATAGTGGGTTCAGTAGTTGGAAGAATTCATTCAACAAACAGTTTGAGCATCTGAACTTATAAATATGGTCATAAAGATGTCTCGTCATAGCCCCTTGGGATTTTTTTTAATACTATGCACTTTTACTAAAAATGTAATCACGAGCAAATTCCCATTGGCTCTCTGTTTTACATATGGTATTGTAAGTTTCCATGTTGCTGTCTCCATACAGCCCACCCTCTGTCTCCTCCCCTCCCCCTGTGTACATAAGTCTGTTCTCTATGTCTGTTTCTCCATTGCTGCCCTGAAAATAAATCCATCAGTGTCATCTTTCTAGATTCCATATCTATGCATTCATATACGGTGTTTATCTTTCTCCTTCTGACTCAGACAGGGGCTCTGTAACAATCTGAAGGGATGGGGAGAGAGATGGGAGGGAGGTTCAAAAGGGAGGGGACATATGTATACCTATGGCTGATACTTGTTGATGTTTGACAGAAAATAACAAAATTCTGTAAAGCAGTTATCCTTCAATTAAAAATTAAGTAAATTAAAAAATTGTAATCAAGAGGATGCCATGAGAGTTATGTTAGGTTCGGGTGGTGGTGGTGTTCAGTCGCTCAGTTCTATCTGACCCTTTGCAACCCCATGGAGTGCAACATGCCAGGCCTCCCTGTCCATCATCAACTTCTGGAGTTTACTTAAACTCATGTCCATTGAGTCGGTGATGCTATCCAACCACCTCATCCTCTGTCGTCCCCTTCTGCTGCCTTCAGTCTTTCCCAGCATCAAGGTCTTTTTTAATGAGTCAGCTCTTCACATCAGGTGGCCAAAGTATTGGAGCTTCAGCTTCAGCATCAGTCCTTCCAATGACTATTCAAAGTTGATTTCCTTTAGGATTGACTGATTTGATCTCCTTGCAGTCCAACAGACTCTTAAGAGTCTTTGTCCAGCACCACAGTACAAAAGCATCAGTTCTTTGGCTCTCAGCTTTCTTTATGGTCCAACTCTCACATCCATACCTGACTACTGGAAAAACCATAGCTTTGACTATACAGACCTTTGTAGGCAAGGTAATGTCTCTGCTTTTTAATACACTGTCTGGGTTTGTTGTAACTTTTCTTCCAAGGAGCAAGCGTTTTTTGATTTCATGACTGTAGTTGCCATCTGCAGTGATTTTAGAGCCCAAGAAAATAAAGTCTATCACTGTTTTCATTGTTTCCCCATCTATTTGTCATGAAGTGATGGGACCAGATACCATGATCTTAGTTTTTTGAATGTTGAGTTTTAAGCCAATTTTTTCAGTTTCCTCTTTCACCTTCATCAAGAGGCTCTTTAGTTCCTCTTCGCTTTCTACCTTAAGGGTGGTGTCATCTGCATATCTGAGGTTATTGACATTTCTTCTGGCAATCTTGATTCCAGCTTGTGCTTCATCCAGCCCAGCATTTCTAGTGATGTACTCCACATATAAGTTAAATGAGCAGGGTGACAATATACAGCCTTGACGTACTCCTTTCCCAATTTTGAAACAGTCCGTTGTTGCATGTTCCATGTAGATTCGGTAGCCTCTCCTGTTCAGAGTGCTGTGAAACCTTGGTACTCCTTTTATAATTTGACTTTTAACAGAGCAACTTTTGCCTAGAGTGTTTCTCAAAATACAGTATTTCCTTCATAATTCATTTGTCTCACTTAATTTTTGTTAAGTTTCTAATATCACATTTTAGTAGAAAGAGTCTCATGCTAGTGGTCTGGAAACCAGAGTTCTGTTTCCAATTCTGTCACCTTCACCTGCAAGAGTAGGGGTAATATGCATGACCTCTTGGGGACATTAATTTCTTCTCTATGCAGTCTGAGAGTTAGGCCACAGAATCTACCTCCAGGCCCTTAACATCCAAATTGTATACTGAACTAACATTAGGTAGTATTATGAAATAACATGAACTGACTTGCACATGTGTATTTAAAGGATGTCATCGATTATTCTTATTTAGTTCTAACTTGTAGGTAAGAATAGCACATAGAGAAATTTAGGAAGATAGCCAGAGTTACTCCTCAGACTTGTCAATACTAGAAATGGAACCCTGATAAACTGTTTCCAGTGGAACAGTTTAGGTTAAGAGGATAGATTCATAAGCAGAGCATCAATCCAACATAATAAAAAAGACATATGGAAA